TTAATTTACATAATATCGCTAATTTTAATTTTTAAAAATAAAATTTTGATATTTTGCCGGTAATCCGTCGGTTCGGCAGAGATTTTTCCCAAAAACTTTCTTGGTAAAATATCAATAAAGACGGACTTTTTCGAGGTTCTGTCGGTAATCCGTCCGTAATTACAGAGGTTTTCCCTAAAGATTCTTGGTTAACCGTCAGTAATGACAAAGTTTTTTGAGATTTCGTCGGTAATCCTTCAATAATGACGGAGATTTTCTTGAAAAGTTTCTTTGGTAATTGACCTGCATTATGTGTAGGTTTATATATCTTTTCTAGTCATAGATCAGAGCCTTTTATAATGTTTTCTTTTCAAATGCAATATTCAAATTGTAATTGTTACTTTAAATTTGCGAAATTCGATTCGGTTCACTTGAACATTGATATCTTTATAATACACATGATCCTCTCGATCAAAGGTTGCTGATCGTTGAGGTGGTAGCCGTGGAGATGAAATCTGGGATATCGATTTTCTGAAAAGGTTATTAGATTGAAACACGGTTAGAATCATTTAGTTTCACATTACTTTTGTTTTCTAAATGTGTTCTCCTGAGCAAACGTTTGGTGTTCCTTTTTAATTCTATATTTACATATTCATGATTCTTTTTAAAAATCTGTTGACTAATTGTTGACTAAATGCCAAGAAAGGAAATCTTGAACCAAAAGATTTAGTTTGAATTGTAGTCAATGTGTAGTGCACCAACAGATAACTATGAACATGTGTATGTTTTATATATAGTGAGAAGTTTGTGTCTCTCTTCCAAACAATAAAACAAAAACAGTCCTCAGAAATAAAAATGCTTTCAAAGATGAAGCTGGTGGCTCTCATGTCGTTCTTGCTCTTTCTTCCATTGTGTTCTTCAAGTAATTTGAAAATATTTTAAATATTCTAATTAGATATTTTACACTATTAATATTAAAGATATTCTCTTATTATTACCCATTTCACACTTATGTAATCTAATAATCTTTTTTTTTTTTAATATATATTGAATTTACCTTTTTGCTTTTAGGATCTGTAGAGAGCCATGATGAGACAAAACCAACTATTTCGGGACGTCCTACGAGGCCACCACCACCAAACCGTGATGAGATAAAACCGACCAGTTGGTTTGTGCCACCAGGTCCTAATCAGAAGAAACCGACCGGTTGGGGTATTCCTATGCGGCCACCACCACCAAGCCATGATGAGATAAAACCGAACAGTTGGTTTGTGCCACCGGGCCCTAATCAGAAAAAACTGACTAGTTGGTTTGTGCCACCAGGTCCTAATCAAAAATAACCGACCGGTTCGGGTCGTCTTACGCGGCCACCACCACCACAAATGAACTAAGAATTATGATGATGAACCAAAGATTTGAAAGTATGATGTTTATATAATATGTGAATTGTCAAAGTAATCAAATTAAGAAAATAAAATGTTATAATAAAGTTGGTCAAACCTGTCCATTTTTTAATCCTTTTTTGATAAAAGAAATTTCATTATTTGGTTTTTTTTCATCGTTTTTTTTCCTTAATTGTCATGATAATAAACATGTAACTCAACCAAATTTGAATCTTGGATTATTTACGACATAAATATTTTGAAGGTTGTGCTTTATAAATAAGATATGATAAACTATTAATCTGCCAATATTAACATATATATATATATATAAAATAAAATTATTAAATCAATAATAATTAAAAACTTTGAATAATAAAAAATGTTTTAAAAGAATTTAAAAGTTATTAAACTAATAACAATGAATCTATAAAAACTATATGGATTTCTTGTTTCAAATCTTTTGACATTTTTTTGAATATTTTAGGTGAATTCATAAAAGTTCTTATGATATGTTATTTATTTATGATTTTACTCTTTTTGAAGAAAAAATATATTTTCTAAATTAAGTTTTGATACTTTTTGAAAACAAATTAACAATTTGATGACTAAGTGTAAATAAGTTCATTTTATGGAAAAGAAAAATCTTTAACCAAAATATTTACTTTAAATTTTAGTAAGTGCATAGTTAGGTAGACTTATCGGTATATACACATTAGAAAACTTATCATGAATTATTAAAATATCTCAAAACCATGTACCTATCTACCATAGAGAAATTGACATATGTTGACCAGTCTAGTTTTTGATCACATATATTTCATCTGTCCATTAACTCATCTATATATTAACACAAAAAATTATTTCTGTGTTCGATTGGTTTCAGAAATTGTAAAATTGCATTCACAACAAATAGAAATCCGGTGTACATTACCATAACAACAAAATAAAAAGTATATATAATATTTTTTCTATGTATTTCGTAATGTATTAAAATGAAAATTTTACAATTTTCCGGTTTAGTTAAGCGATTCCACAGATAAACCGGTATTGGCATTTCAGTATTACATGCAAGAAAGTGTAGAGAGTGTCGTCTTTCTTGGTTTTGTGTAGGCTACGCAAAGCCTTGAGTTAGTTGTTGCTAGGGGCGAACTCAGAAAAAAATATTGATGGGGGCAAATTGTCATAAAAAGGATTCGAACCCTTGACCTTAGACTATTTATGGGAGATTTAACACCACTTTGCCGCTTAACAACTTTGGTATAGTTTAGTTTTGTTTCTTATTTAATAGTTACTGGTGGCAGGTGCCACCACAAAGCCCAACGTAGATCCGCCACTGGTTGTTGCTGGTCTGTTTCTTTCTGGTTTTCTTTCTCGAATGCCACCCGGACCGAAGCTGATCTTCTTGGTTCTGATGGATACTGGAAAATGTAGAAGAAGAAGAATCAAGAAGAGATAAGATTGATGAAATAAACAACTTTTGGTATTGAACTGAAGCTCTTTATACCCGTATAGGTGTTATAGTTTTGCTCTTGCTTGGTGTCGTTGGTCGGCTGATTGATGCTGACTCGTTAGTCAGTGGTCATTTGTTATTATAATTTTGAAGGTCAATGGTCTTTTTTAAATCGTTAATATTCATGTATGTTTGTTGACGAGATCTTAGAGCATGTCCAATGAAAGTCTTTTTTATTTAAAGTTTTTAGTAAATTTTTAAAAATAAATTGTGTATTTTACAAACATAAAAACTTTTTAAATTTATCCACCTCTAATGATAAAATTCTAATTGGAGTTCTTAAAGAAAAAAAATTTGAAAACAAAAATTTTATAAAGCATGAAAATTATTATATTTTATAAAATTTGTAACACATATATTATAAAAAATAATTAAAACATAATAAAGACACGTAGTACAAATCATATTTTAATTGTTGTTAAATATTCTCAACTAAATCAGATTTCAATTGTTGATGCATTGTTCGATCACGAACTTTACTTCGAATGTTCATCATATAGCCGAGTTTTGAAGTGATATCTGTAGAATAAGTGAAGTCCACCGGAGGTCCAACCACTCACAAATAGACACGTAGCACTAAGAAACACGCACAAAATTTCTTAACTAAAATATATATCTTAGCTTAATTAGCATTATTAATTTAATTTTTGGTTTTTTATTACTAAAAAACAACTTAAGAAACACCCATTTCGTTAAATGACCAGTATTATTAGTTTGAATAGGCATTAGTAACTAGTAAGTGGTCATTTTTGAGATTCCGTTGGTAATCGGTCAGTAATGAGGGAGATTTTTTTGAAAAGATTTTTTTTGGTAAACTTTTGGTAATGACAAAATTTTTTGAGATTCCGTTGGTAATATTTCAGTAATGATGGAGATTTTTTTGAAAATTTCTCGATAAATCATCGGTAATGACAAACTGTTTAGAGATTTCGTCGATAATTCATTTTCGTGTTCCGTCGGAAATCTAACAGAAGAATGTCACTTTAGATACGAATTATCGACAGATTACCGATGCTTCTATCCATCGCTAAATCGTCGGTAAATTACTCTTCGGAAATCCGTCGGTAAATTATCTCTCAGAAATTCGGTAAATCATATGTATTTTTAAAGTTTGAAACCAACTTTTTAAAATATTTCAGTTATTTTTCGAAAATTGGATATTGAATTACCCTAAAATTTTTGAATAAATTCGTTTCATAAAATTGAAGTGAAGGTATTTGACAAACAAAGAAAAGAACAAAAAGAGACAGACACATATAAGCATCATCAGCTATGGCAAATTTACAAGATCGATTACAAGCATCATCAGCTAGGGAAGTACAATTTTCATATGTATTCATTTTTAATCTATTTTGATTCAGGCTTTTAGTTTTTGTGTACAATTTTCCCTGATTGTATTTGGTGGTAGAAGTTTCTTATTTCTTACATGCAATCAAGTTTCACTTTTTAGTTTATGTAATATTACAAGAAGAATATATTAGATGGATGGCCTGAATTGGATTGGTGGTAGAAGAATCTAATCTCTTATATGCAATCAAACTTCTGTTTAATTATGTGATATTAAAGAATATATAGTTTTTTTTTGTTTGGTATGGCTTAGATGGCATTTTGTAGCTTTATTAAATCACAGAAGTGTGACAATGCCTTCTACATCCTCCAAAGATCTTGTTTATGAATAATTCACTCTTCCAAAAGATGGAAGTATATACATATCAGTCGTAGTCTCGTAGACAGTTTCGCTCTAAACTCCACAGTAGACACATATGGCAGCGACCACAAGAAAGCATACTTTGGTTGTTATCTTTCGTATGTCAAATGTTTTTACGCGATTGAAATGATTCACCAGATGTGGAGAAGGCATGGGCATATATCTACCGCCCGCCATGGACACGGAGATTTTCGACGACGTCTCTTCATTTACGGAAATGAAGAAAAACAAAACCAAAATAAAATCTATAATCAGTTTAATCAGAAAACGTCTAGATTACTTCACAACAAGAATAAGTAATATACAAAAATATTTTGTCTTTATTTATGTACCTCGCGAGGGCGTTAACATAAGGGACGAGTTGATCACGGGTGGAGGTGTCGACTCTATTCATTAAAAAAAAACCCGAAGAAATCACAGTAAAATCTATAATTAGCAGTTGCAATAATAAGAAATAGGAAAAAGACTAGTTTCACCTCGGTTAAAGATTTAATATTCTAAGTAACTCTTAAAATATTTGGGTTAAATAAGTTACCTTGATATCCAAAATATTCTTATTTCTTTTGATAGGAAAAAAATATTACCAAATTACCATAAATTTTTTTTCCAATTTTTGGGTTTAATTTTTTTAATTAAAAAGTCTGCGGTTCAGTTGTGGTAGATTTGTTGTTGTTTGGCGGATTTTTTTTGTCACAGTCATTTTATGGCAGACTTTTTTATTTGACATATTTAGTTTCTTATGTTACCACAGATTTATTTTTTACGACAAATTTGTTTTCTATGATAGACTTATAGTCGAGATAACCACGGACCTTTTAACTATATGACATATTTTTGAGATTCTAGTGGTTACTAGAATTTGTTTTTTTCTTTTAAATTTGTGGAATATTAACATACTTAAAAAAAAAAAAAATTTTTGCTAGATTGACATGGTGTGAGTATATTATTGTTTTATGTGATGGCAGATTTATTTTATGTCATGACCATTTTTATTTTTTAAAAGTAACTCTGCTTTTGATAACAGGTTTATATAGGAAAAACATAAGTTGCTACAATGACATTTATAGTGCTTACAGATTTGTTGTAGGTTGTGAGAGACTTTATTTATGTTATGACCGATTTGTTTAGATATTCTTTAGTGGCAGATTTGTTGGTTTTTTGGCATTTTAAAAAATAATAATTAACTGACTACATATCAATTTGTTATTACTCTGTGACTGATTTATTTTGAAATTCTTTCATATATTGACAGTATTTTTTGGAATTCATATAGTGATATATTTTTGTTTTTGTTTTTTGGTGGCCATTTTTGGGGGGATAAATTAAGGTTTATAAGAAATGGCTCCGATTGGTAATACCGCATAATCTCACAATACCGGGAGTTGCAGAATATATTTCCGTGGAACGCAAACTTGCTAAAAAAACGCGTAGATTGAAATTACGTAAAAACTATGTTGATTGGATATATTTTGTAGAATAAACAAAATGAATATTATATTACTAATTTATCAGTATATCTAATAAACAATATAGATAAGTAAGTATAATTTTGAAATTACAAATATTATAAGTTAAATTATAAGTTTTATCTTTCTATTTTTACAGTTACTAATATTTTGTATGTGTAAAACACTAAAAATTATCATACAAATAATTCGGTACATATATAGTTGTGAAAGTTTCAAACATTAATTTTTTCCACTAAATATATATATAGTTATCTTCATAATTTTTACATTGGCTAATATATTTTATGTTAAAATAATACACAATTGATTATGCAAATAAGATGGTATATAGTTGTGAATATATATTACAATTTTCATTATAAAGAATTATTTTCGTACTGTCGACAAAAAAAAAACAATTATTTTCGTACTTTTGTGGTCGATAATAATTGTATGTATAAAAAATAAATTCTATTATGCAAAGAAACACCTATATATACTCACATATTTGCATAATGAGATTTTATATGTATTTTTTAGGCGAAACATAAATCCTGCGTTTTTGCGTTTGCTAATGCAATTATGCAAATTTTCTCGATTCGTAAACTTTCTGCATAATCGCATTAGAAAACGTCATTATGGCATTATGCGTGTTACCAATCGGAGCCAATATATTAAATAAATTTTATGACTGGTTTATTTTGAATATAGTATAGTTTTTCTGTATAAAACAATGTTTTTTGAATTAGGTTAAATGATTCGGCGACAAATTTAATATTTGTATGGCAGATTTTTATAATATATGCCATATTTAGGAACATGGGGGTTTTGGACTTCTAACACAAAATTTGTGTCATTCTAGTAATGGGGTATGATGAGATGTTAAACTAGTTATTTTTAGGCTAACTTGGGTTAAACTAGGCAATTTTCAGTAATGAATATTAGGATTCGCAAAATAACATTTTTCAATACCTTTTGCAAATTTTGCAAAAATATTCCCTTTTATTGTTCATTTTCAGTAATTCCCCTTTTCTATATATAAAATGACTAAGAGGGTGTTATTGGATTCTAACGTATAAGGAATTTAGATAACTCTAATAAAATCATAGATTGTATGATTCTAAAGAATTGCTTGAGAGTTTTCTGTAATCTTGTTGATTAGTTTTTTCTAAAATTGTGTAAAGTCTCTCAAACAATATCTATAGTTATAAGATACCATGACTTTATTTTGTAAAAAAAAGTGTTTAAAATCATAAACCAATAACATAATATTTTAATCCATTAACAATCAGAGGGTTTTTTGTTTTAATTGAATAACACATAAGTTTTAATGACTTAGTAAAACTCTGAATCGAATAACCCCGTATTTATAAAGATTTTGAATGATTTTTTACAAATCAATAACTAATAAGACCAAACTTTAGAAGAGTTTAATAAAATCTTGGTTGAATAACAACATATTCTACCTAAAATCTAAAGTCATTTAAAACACCATATAACTCACAAACCAATTATTCTAAACCCAAATTTCTAAATACAAAACTCTACCCCCTCATAACTATACCCTAAATGTAAAATAGAGAAGCCAAACCTAAAACAAATTCTAAAAATTAATTTAATATATTGCAATTGTGTAAACGAGGGTAAAAATGAAAAATGGTAAAAAATGCTATTTTTGCAAAAGGATATCAAGAAAAAGGTGTTAGTCAAATTTTTCTATATATTCTTACCTATTTTTGTACCTTGTAAGAATTCTGGAATCACCCGCGGTGGCGAAGGCCTTGGCGTAGGGGGGATATCGACCACGGGGAGAAGTATCGGCTCTAACTTATTTACAATAATGAAGAAAAAAAAGACAAGAAATGGTTCTAGTTAATAAGAAAATGTCGGGAATACAGAACATGCAAAAGTATTCATGTCTATTTTTTTTTTTTGTACCTCGCGAGTATTTTGGAATTGACTCTCTAGCAAAAAGTGCCACAAACGCGAGCATGATAACTGCTATCGCTATCACTATTCCTGCAAAGTTCTGTTTAGTTTACGTGTTACTAATTTGCTATTAATTCAAATGTTTATATATCATATATGACTAATCATAACCATATATAACCAGAGCCGGCTCTGAAAGTGTAAATCTTATATCCATAGATAGTTTTGGTGTACCTGATTTGTGTTTACGGCCTCCCCAACATGCTCTCACTACTACTAATATGAAGAGTACACCGAAAAGGAGAGGAGCAAATCTTTGCATTACCATCATTCCTAACATATATAAGAACTAGCTAGTATCAGATTGTTTCAACCAGAACTATATACATGTTTTGAAAACAGACGTACGTACCTAGTCGATAGATATTATTGTAGTCGAAGAACAACTGTTGCTCAAACTCTTTTATGCATAGTATCACATGAACAAGTAGAAGAATTGCTCCCATCATGGTTAAACCTAACAACAACGAAAAAAAAAGAAAGAAGAGTTACTTAGACTTAAAAGTTGATAATATGTGCTTTCACTCTTTATTATTAAAGAGGCTAATTAATAACCTTTTTTGTACTTTGGCTGGCTCGGGCTCGATCTTGATCGCTGCATTCTAAACAACACTATTAGAACAAGAACTAGGGTTGCTACGCCCAGACCGACATTGGTTCCTTGCTCCAATTCCATTTGATTTGTGAGTTTCTTCGTTGCTATGGTGTATTATTTGGCAAACGTAAAGCGTTGCTGTATGTACATATAACGGATCCACAAAATCAAAGGAGAATATAATATTAATGGACATTATTTAAATCGTAAGTGGTCATTTGCATATTAATTTTAAAGGTTAATGGTCTTATTTAAATCGTTAATAATCATCTTTGTTGATGAGATCTTAGTATGGAGGCATTATTTTAGTCAGTGGTCTTTTGTTATTAGTTTTAAGTCTTATTTAAACTGTTAATATTCACTGTAGTTGATGAGATCCAATTAATTGTAGTAGACTTTTGTGGCAAATGGTAAATTTTTCATTCTACTTCTTACGTCGAGAAACGAGTTTGCGTTTAAGTTTGTTTTAAGTCGTCATTGTTTAACTTTTTTATACAAAAAAAAAAAAAGTCGTCATTGTTTAACTTTATTTTGTCCAAAAAAAAAGTCATCTATATTAACATTTTTAATTATATTTACATACGGCAATTAGGGGTAAAGTTTGTGGGCTAAAGTTTGTCAAAAAAAAAAAAAAAAGTCATTCAAAATTTATGCAGGATTGCAAAATAACCTTTTCCTATATTTGTTTTTTTTATAAAATACGTTTCGTTGCCTTGTAAATATCAAATCCTTATACATAGTTAGTCATTTTGTATCAAATCCTTGTAAATATTTTCATAACCATTTCAAAATCCCTGTAAATTTATAAAACTCTTGTAAAACCTTTAAAATCCCTTATAACTTCTACACACATTTTTTTAAGACACTTGTAAATCTTTTAAAAACCTTTTGAAAACCCTTGTAAACTTATAAAAAATACTAAGTAAAGACCTTTGTAAATTTTTCTAAAACCATTCAAAAACCCTTGTAAATCCTTTAAAAAAAATACTTGTACATCTTTTTAAAAAACACTTTAGAAAGCCTTATAAATTTTTTAATTCTGAGAATAGTGCCCACGCGAGAAAAAGTTTTGGCAGGAAATTTTTTGTCAAAGTTTTTTTGGTGGAAAAAAATATTGTCGGGAAAAATCTTTGGTTGGAATTTTTTGCCGGAAATAGTTCAATTCTTCATTTTATTGACTTAATTAATTTTCAACTAGGGGTAAAATGACCATTAAAAATTAAGAGAAAGCAAAAATGAAAATGACAAAAAGAGTATTTTTGCAAATGGGTATCATGGAAAGGGCATTAGTATGAATTTTATCTTTCAAAAATGTCATTTTCATTTATCTATTTTCTAAAATACTCTTAATAAATCTGAAATTTTATAGTTTTATAAATTTCATAAGTTATAGTACATACTAGAGTCCCGACGTAGTTCGAAATTTTAACTTTTAAAACCATAAATCTTTTTAAAACATTTTACAGTTTTTTAAAAGATTTATAATTTTTTTTGTCAACAACGAATAAGAGTGGCTCATAAAAGCCAACTGGGAGGAAAATTGTTTACAAACTTAACATGATGCGGACTGGAACGAACTTTACGTGTCAAAGAATCCGCTTTTGCATTCAAACGCACTGGAATTAAAGATAGCGAGAAGGTTGAGAATTCTTTCCTATCAATACTAATATCGTCAAGGTAAACAGAGAACGTCGGCCACTCGGAAGGAGAAGACACCATCTTCATCAAATCTGTATAGTTATGGCCAATCATACATTTCATCGCCCTCACCAGAGCTTCTACTTTAGAATGAAGAGGGGAAAGACTCCGACGGAGATTGGAAGCGCCCATCACTAGGTAAGACTCCTGTGCATGCTGACAAAACCATCCTATACCGGCAAACTTATATGTGTTCTTCCAGGAACTATCAATAAAGCACCAATAACCTGTAAACATATAAGGTAAATGGTCCAAACGACAATTAAAATGACTCCCAAAACCCGTATTAGCCACAAGGGGGTAGGAGAGGGGCCCAAATCCTTGATCTGAGCCTCTTACTAGACACGTGCTTCATCCTTTTGCAACCCTAATGACCTCCAAGGGATTTATAAAAATCTTACAAAAACATATTTATGTTATTACTAACATTTCAATTATTTGTCAGTTTGTTTGTTAAATTTTCTTCTACTCAACGCGACAACCCTAAACTCTCACGTTGCAGCATCCACGAACGAACTACATGAACAACTCTCAAATTGCAAAGCAACAACTGACAACCTTAAAACTCTCAAACTCTCAAATTGCAAAGCATGCACAAAAGTAATAAAAGCCTAATGTTGGCTAACAACTATTGGGCCTAGGCCTAGTATAAGGCCCAGTCTTTTTTTATTTTGCCTTCTTCGTCGTCTTTCTCGACGGTTAGCTATAAGGGTTCAGAGGTTTTCTCTAAGCGATCTCCCAACTTTTTCCGATTGCAAACTCTCAGGTTATGTTGACAAGAGAACGGATTGGCGATTCCCTACCTCGACCTCCGTCACCTTCTCCGACGAGTGACCGTGACGGGAACGATTCAAGCGTGATTAAACCCGGTGATGTTTCAAGCCGTTCCGATCAAATCGATGTGGCTTTTTCTCACGGAATCCAGGCCCGGGAACAAGATGTTAATGGATTCCGGCGAGATTCTGATATGTACGACGTAGATATGCAAAGAGGCATTGGATTAACTAATAAACACCGACGAGAAGAAGAAGAGAGAGACGACGAGCGTTATATGAAACATTTTCATCTTCAGGAAGATTCCGGCAAACGTTATGCGGATTCAACGAGATCGAGTGAGGAACCTAAGGCTTCTCGATTCAACACATCGCCTGATCAATCGAGATTGAGTGATGAACCTAAGCCCTCTAGATTCGTTCCATCATCGCTTGGTTACGAGTATTCACCGTCTCATGGGAAGAATGTGCTGCTTAAGAACGATAAAACTAACCGAGTGGATTCGATTTCTCGTGAGTGTAGTGATTCATCTCGTCATAGTAGAGACAGAGATACTAATAGATATGAATCATCACCTCTGTCACAAGTAGGGTCTAGTGTGGCTGATTTCCAAGATGAAAGCTCTAGGCTTGTAAGTTCAGATTCTGGATGTTGCATTCGTGGTAATGATTCAGATAGAGTGGATGAAAGAAGAAGAGATTATAATGGGGATCTTTCTGCGTCACAGGTTCTACTTACTAGACGTGTAGATGATTATGTTGGTAGAAACTCACCAAGGGATCAACGAGAGAAATCGTTTCGAGGTTTTGGTTGTGGAGACCATGATTCACCAGTTGTGAGCAGGTGTGGCAAAGAGATTGTGGATGAATCTCGCAATCATTATCACATAGGCTCTGATGTAGCAGTGAAAGAGTTTCCCAGTGCTAGGCATGAGACCAAGAATATGGTTAGAGAGAGTGATATTCTTATGCAGACAAGTGGATCTTTACCAAAGTCCTATGTCTGTGGTTTAAATATAGCTGATGTTGATGTGGCCGATACCCATCTTGAGTTTTGCACGAAAGAGAGGATGACTAACCAGTATGAGTCCGTCAAAGAACATTATCCTTTTGTGGAGTTGGGACCAAGAGTGGTGCAGGAACGAGATTATGAGGATGCCCACTACAGGAACTTTCGTAACAACGAAAGGAAGGTTGTTTATTTGGATAACAAATGTCAATTACTGAGAAAGGATTATCAATATGATGGTGTTGACAGCAGGAAGAATCTTGATTACAGTGAGCCAAATGCTGTGGTTGATCAAGATGACAAAGCTTCACAGAGCTTAAACAAAGAAAGAGAAGCATATTTGGATAAGGAGAGAAATGCTGTTTTGTTGGATGATAGAAGACGAAATCTGAGCGAAGAGTATCACTTTGGCAATGATGGTAGGATGCATTCCGATGTTGATAGAGCAGATATGTTGGTAGATCAGGATGGAAGAGTAGTGCAGCTTAAACAAGAATGCTTAAATAAAGGAAAGGCAGCATACCTGAATAATGAAAGGAAGGATGTTTATCTGAACCACAAAAGCCAACAACTGGAAAAAGATTATTACTCTCGCTCTGATGCTAGGATTTATCCCGATGTCAACAGATTAGATATTCTGGTAGACCGTGAAGGGGAAAATAACAGAGGTCTAAGGTATCGAGGAATGTCCGTAAATGAAAGAAGGGAAGCATATTTGCAATGTGAAAACCATCAACTCCTAAACGATCATCAAACTAGCTCCTATGGCATGATGCATCCTGATGTTGACAAATCAGATATTTTGGTAGACCGGGAAGATTCCAGAGGTCTAAGGTATAGAAGTGCGTCCTTGAATGATAAAAAGGAAGCATATTTGCAACAGGAAAGCCAGCGACTCCTAAACGATCATGAAACTTACTCTTCTGTCATGATGCATCCTGATGTCAGCAAATCAGATATTCTAGTAGACCATGAAGATGCCAGAGGTCTAAAATATAGAAGAGCCCCCTTAAATGATAGAAAGGAAGCATATTTGCAATGTGAAAGCCAGCAACTCCTAAACGACCATGATACTGACTCATATGGCATGATGCATCCCGATGTCAACAAATCAGATCCTCTGGTAGACCATGAAGACGCTAGAGGTCTAAGGTATAGAGGAGGAGTATCCCTAGATGATAGAAAGGAAGCATATTTTCGATCTGAAAGCCAGCAACTCCTTAAAGTTCATGAAACTAACCCTTATGGCATGATGCATCCCAATCTCAATAAACCAGATATTATTGCAGACCGGGAATCTGCCAGAGCTCTTGAACTTAGAAGGGCATACTTTGATGATGAAAAGGAATCATACAAAGATTATAGAAGGGGGGATGCATATCTGCGTTACGAAAGCCAACAACTGAAAACAGATTATGACTACGGCATTGATGACAGGATTTATCCTGATGTCAGCTGTTCAGATAATATTGTAGGCCATGGAGATACCAACGCACTAGAGCATAGAAGAGTAACCATCAGGAATAGGAATGAAGCATATCTGGATAATGAAAGAATGGATGTTTATCAACATTACAAAAAACAACACCTGAAGGACTATGAATCTGGTATTGATGATACGATGTATCCTCATGTCGCCAAATCAGAGATTGTGGTAGACCGAGAAGGTGCTAGAGCTCTAGAGCGTAGAGGAGTATCCTCGAATGAGGGACGTGAAGCCTATTTGCACTATGAAAGCCAGAAACTCCTTAGAGATCATGAAATTGATTCATATGGGATGACGCATCATGATGTCAGTAGATCATCAGCTGGCAAGAAAGATGAGGAAGCTCTTCGATGTAGGAGGCATCTTTTTGATGACCGAAATCAAGTCTACTTGGATGATGAGCGCTTGCAACTACGAAATGGTGGCCATGTTAAAGTTCATCAAAATATGAGATATCCAGATGGTAGACAAGAGATTTATCATTCAAATGATAAAGTTTCTCGTACAAGACATGATCATGGTCTCAGAGACGACCCAAGTGAGGTTAGACATGAGAATATGGCTTATGATTACAACTACCGTGATGTTAAGCAACGTGGAAAGTCTTACGAGAAGCCAGATAGTGGAAGGGACCGTGATCACCAAGTAGCCTATGATTACAGGGACAAGCTAGGGAATTTTGCAGTGGAAGGAGGAACAAGCAAAGAAAAATTCCGATACTCAGCTGATGAAAGGAATTATGGTAATGTTGATCACACATCAACTCGGCGCCCTCGACTATCAGCCAAAGAGCGGTTAGGTGGGCGTATCGAAGAAGATTCACGTGTTCATGTGAAACATCGACTGCATCAGGTTAGAAACCCAAAACTAAAAGGTAAGTCCCATAAGAGGAACTAAAAGAATATTATTTCCTGAGGTCGTCACTTCTCTCAACATGGTTAATTCCTCAGAACAAGATTTGAGAGAGAAAAGCTCATAGAAATTCAAGACTTATGGGTTTCAAGATTTGTAATCTCGGTTCCTTCATGGTCTGAAAAGGTTAGAAACAGGTTCTAGGATTAGAGTTTTTTGGCAGTGGGGGAAGGATTTGAGGCTATTATCTTGGTAAGATATGCTTCTTTTTGCGTTGAACTTGGCCTTTAGAAGTTTATTTTTTCAGTTGTTTGGTCGGTGGTTTTCTAGACGTTGGTCATTTTTTTTGGGTCTGAACAAGTAAATAACTCAACAAGTTTATATAATCTAACAACTTTTTCTTGTTACAATCTCGACGCAACACATGAAAGGCTTCTTGTTTTGTAGTATTCATGGTCACTTTTTGATGGAACATTGAACAGTTCAAAAAAAAAAAAGTATTGAACAGTTCAAAAAAAAAGTATTGAACAGTTCTATGAGACTCTCACACAGACGAGTAAGATGAAAAAAAGAAAAAAATTAAGTGAAAAGATTAGTGAAGAAATTGGTTTTGTTTATCCATTTGGTTGTGTGATCAATCATCGGTCCAATTTGACTAAACCAGTTGATTAGAGAAAAAGAAGAAGACATTCTAAACCGATTCTGATTTCAATTTCAATTTTATAGTTCGGTTTTATGCATTTTGAATGACGTCATCTGCCATGTCATCAAAACATTAAAACGAAACCGTTTTGACTTTGGACTATCCCCTTGTGCTCTTTTGTCTTTCTCTCTCTTCTTCTCGCTCTTCTCTTCTCTTCTCTTCTCTGTTCTGCCGGCAAGTCGTGAAACCTCTGCGACTTGAGTAATGAAGAAATCGTCTCATCTCTACTGAAGAAGCTACGAAGCCCTTAAAATTCTCTGTCTAATCGTTCTTTCAGATTAATTTCGTACGATCTCTGTTCGTTTAAGAGATGCGCTCCAAGGACAAAATCTCCTACTTTTATGATGGTATATTCATTTCTCTCCCTTTTCTTTTTCTTTTCTTTAAGATTCTTGAAATTGATGTCTTTATTTTTGATTCATCTAAGTTTCACTTGTAACTCTTGAGCAATTGAACCGCACTACTTGGTGTCTTTATTTCTCAATAGATGCATCGAAAGGTCGAATCTTTCACATCTGAATTCTAGTTTAGGTTAAGGGTTGCAATTAGTTTTGGAAATAATCCAGCTCGATTTAGTTTTTGAGTAGGGTTTTTGATGGAAAAGAACAAGGGTTTTAGGTAAAGTTCTGATTTTTTTCGTTTCCTTAGCTCTAGTTTTAGCTTTAGCCAGAAGCTAGTATGTAATTGTTATGGCCAAGTCTCTGTTCTTTCTTTCTTTGCTGAACTATGAAACCCTGGAACTTTTTGTCAAGTAAAAGCTGTGTTCGTCATTGTATATAATGTTTAGAATTGTGTTCTTTTGAGGTTCCTTTCTTGAGTAACTGTTACAGTCTTGATAGTTATATACTCTTTTTGTAAATTGAGGTGTCGATTCAAACTCTTATGGGAGTTGAGGTGTCGATTCAAACTCGTATGGGAGTTCAGTTTATATTTCCTGTTACTTGTGGCAGATTATATGGGTTTTGTGATGATATGCTGATGGGTTTTTTTTTTTGGTTTAGGGGATGTGGGGAGCGTTTATTTTGGTCCAAATCATCCAATGAAACCTCACAGGCTTTGTATGACTCATCATCTTATCCTTGCATATGGCCTTCATAGCAAGATGGAAGTTTATGTCAGTCTCTTGCTCATCATTCATGTTTCTTGTACTTGTTCTATTTATTCCATTTGTTAATGATCTCACTGTACATCTTGTAAGAACTATTTATGCGTTCTTTATTGTTTCAGCGTCCACACAAGGCATATCCTATCGAGATGGCTCAGTTCCATTCTCCCGACTATGTGGAGTTCCTGCAACGAATTAATCCAGAAAATCAAAACTTGTTTCCCAATGAAATGGCTAGATGTAAGTTTTGAATCTTCATTAATTGGTTATTGCAATCTTACTTTTTTTTAGCTGAAATTAAGTTCAAGATCTTGCTGTCAGTCTGTGTTAACATCAACGTTGATGCAGATAATCTGGGAGAGGATTGTCCTGTCTTTGAGGATTTGTTTGAATTTTGTCAAATTTACGCTGGGGGAACCATAGGTAAATCATAATATTTGCAGTATGTCGGTATTCATGTTTGGTTCTCACTTTAGACTTTAGAGCAATGTTTACTATCTGAATATTTTGTCTGTAGATGCTGCACGCAGATTAAACAATAAACTCTGTGACATTGCAATAAATTGGGCGGGCGGGTTGCACCATGCCAAAAAATGTGATGCATCTGGGTTTTGTTACATCAACGATCTTGTACTAGGAATTCTTGAGTTGCTGAAACACCATCCCCGTGTGCTATACATAGACATAGATGTTCATCACGGTGATGGAGTTGAAGAAGCCTTTTACTTTACTGATAGGTATGCTTAGATAGTGCATAATGACTTCTTGAAAGTTGTTTCTGTAGAAACTAATTACCATATCTTTGAATTTTGTTATGGCAGAGTGATGACTGTTAGCTTTCATAAGTTTGGGGATAAGTTCTTTCCAGGGACAGGCGATGTTAAGGTAATATTCATATTTTGTTTCCTGATTTTATGAGGACTGTTTCTATGTGTTTGGATAAATTTTCATTGTGACCAAATTGTCTTAAAACAGGAAATAGGAGAAAGAGAAGGGAAATTTTACGCAATTAATGTGCCGCTGAAGGATGGTATTGATGATAGTAGTTTCAACCGTCTCTTCAGGACAGTAAGTTCTTTAACTGAAACAATCAAATTGCTGATGCTTTCATTGTTTTGTTGTTTTGATCATTTCCTTTTGGTCTCTAGATAATTTCCAAGGTTGTTGAGATATATCAACCGGGTGCTATCGTTTTGCAATGCGGGGCAGATTCACTAGCCAGGGATCGACTAGGATGCTTCAATCTCTCTATTGATGGTGCTTTTTCTTCTTGTAATCAAAATCTCTTTCTCTATTTCAATCTCTCTTTTGCTAGCTTCTATGCTACTCGGGTTCTGAATCGACTTTCCCTGATGCGTTTTCCAGGACACGCTGAATGTGTTAAATTTGTGAAGAAGTTCAATCTTCCCTTGCTGGTATCTATCTCTCTTGACTTATATCTACTACGGCTTTTTGTAATCTTATGTTCTTCTATGGCGAAGTCAGTTTGGATTGTTTATTAGGTTACAGGAGGTGGAGGATACACAAAGGAGAATGTTGCTAGGTGTTGGACAGTTGAGACTGGCATTCTTTTGGACACAGAACTTCCTAATGGTTTGTAAATTTTCTTTTAATGTTTGTTAGAGAGAGTATAATATTTCGTCTTTCAGGGCTTACTGAGTTACGGGTTAATTGTTTCTGCAGAGATTCCTGAAAATGACTACATCAAGTATTTTGCGCCGGATTTTTCCTTGAAGATACCGGGTGGTCACATTGTAAAGAGCTCCTATTTTACTTAAAAGTTATTCATTGATTTTAAAAAATCTGTAGACACTGAGAATCATTTGTGTTTTGAAATTGAAACAGGAGAATCTAAATACCAAATCGTACATCAGCTCGATTAAAGTACAGATTTTGGAGAATCTGCGATACATTCAACACGCTCCAAGCGTGCAGATGCAGGAGGTAAAACTCGGATCATTATGCGGACAAGTGATGATTTGATCAATCTTGTTCTTCCGATTTGTGTTATCTAACACTGATCAGTTCTTTTTTTTTGGTTGTAACACTGATCGGTTCTTTTTTTACTTATATGTTTTAGGTTCCACCTGATTTCTACATACCTGACTTCGATGAAGACGAACAAAACCCAGACGAACGCGTTGATCGTAAGTATCCAAACAAACTACCTTGAAATCTAACCTTAATCCAAAGTGCTTCGGTTTCTCAGCGACTAAATACTCTATTTGTAAACGGTTTTGATTGTTTTCAGAACGTTCACGGGATAAGCAAGTCCAAAGAGACGATGAATATTTCGATGGAGACAACGATAACGATGGATCGTAACATGGATACTTAGAACTGAAGGCAATCTATATTGATGGTTTCTACTTCTTCTTTGTTTAGTTATGAGATTTGTAATGGTAACAACATTTTAACGGCTATATGGACAAATCCAAAATCCAGTGATGATTGTCTACTGTATTGATTCCATCTTTTTCCATCATTTAAATTGTGTATATGAATGAATGAAAGCTTTCTTTTTTTCAGCTTGCTCATTTTCTTATCAACGTTCATTTGTATACCTTTCTATTTTTTCTTGGCCAAGTTACTGTTTAATCTTTTCTGTTAGGACAAAACTCACTTGGAAATTTGAATCTTGAAGATTCTTGCGAGTCTTTATTGGAGCATAGGGACAGCGATTTTGTCGTTAGCAACATTTTTCCACGAAATCTCACTTTATTTTCCAGGAAACACCTATTGAGGTTTTGTGCCAATAGGGTCTCTATCTATCATATAGAGATCATCTTCCTCTCTCTTAATGATAGAAATATCCATACACAACAAACTGTTTCCTCGATGACAAAAAAAAAAAAAAAGATGACAAAAAAAAAAAAAACAAACTGTTTCCTCTCCGAACCAGACAAAGGCAAATCAGAGAGATCTCAAGATTCTTCTAACTCATGGAAATTTCTCTTGTCTTTTTATTGCATCGGTGAAATTTTCATGTCCCCATTTGTCTCTTACTCTTCACTGTCTGAACTAAATTCAGTTTTTGTTTTAATATTTTACGTAAGGTTCTTGATGATGATTATGTTGATCTTGATGGTTTCTTTGTTTTTGATTAGTGTTTTGAGACCAGTTCTTGATTATATGTGTTCTTGATTATAACTTTTGGGTTTCTTGTTATATTTTATTCATTCTTTCTCCTAATTGTGGGAACTAATGATGATAGCTGCTGTGAAACTTCTTGATTAAATGTGTTCTTGATTATAACTTTTGGGTTTCTTGTTATATTTTATTCATTCTTTCTCCTAATTGTGGGAACTAATGATGATAGCTGCTGTGAAACTTCTTGATTCCATCAATGGGTTCTGTAATGAGCTCGAGCTGTAACAAGAGGAAAGCTACGAGTCAGGAGGACGTTGAATCCGAATCTGTTAAAAGACAAAAGGTGTGCTCAAGTTCAACCAACGATGATGAGAATTGCAAATTGATTCTTCAAGATGAGTTTTCTTGGAAACGTCCTTTGAGTTTCTGTGTCAACAGAGTTGTCAACGGTATGTACCTCATTTACACAAAGGCCTCTTCCTCTTCCTTAATCCATTCTTTACAATACTAAAGAATTTTATTTTTGTCCTTGACTCAGCAGCATCCGCAGTAGGCTTCTTCACTCAATTTACAAAAGTCAGATTCCAACTGGATGATAAAGATACTATATCTTCTTTATCTCTTCCATCTCCTTCAACTTCTGTGTCTCAAATTTGGAAATTCGATGTCTTTCCGAGCTTCCACGGACCAGATGTTCGAAGAGCCTTTCTTAGTCATATCTTTGTAGTGTTCAAGGGAATGGGAATCAATACATTCATTGATAATGATATACAGAGGAGCAAGTCGATCGGTCCTGAGCTCATGAAAGCTATTAGAGGATCAAAGATCGCGATCGTCTTGCTCTCCAAGAACTATGCTTCTTCTTCATGGTGTCTTGATGAGTTGGCAGAGATCATGAAATGCAGGGAAGTGCCGGGTCAGATAGTCATGACCATTTTTTATGAAGTGGAACCAACTGACATAAAGAAACAGACCGGTGATTTTGGAAAAGCCTTCAGAAAAACTTGTAAAGGTAAAACAAAAGAGCGTATTGAGAGATGGAGAAAAGCGTTGGAGGATGTGGCCACAATCGCCGGATATCATACTCGCAACTGGTATGTCTCTCAATTTATACTCTCCTTAATTAATATATACTTAAATTAGAGTTCAAACAATGGTTTATATGTAGCTTTTAAAAGTATCAAGACACAAGAAAATACATAATTTTAGGATATGTATGTATGAGAATATTTCATGACTAGATTAATGAAAAGTTTTAATTAATATCCTCCAATGTTAGGGTCAATGAAGCGGGCATGATCGAACAAATAGCCATAGATGTTTCAAGTATGTTGATTTGCTCCACACCATCAAAAGATTTTGACAATTTAGTAGGGATGGGAGCTCATATGAAAAGGATGAAACGTTTGTTACGCCTAGATATGGATGATGTGAGGATGATTGGGATTTGGGGTCCTCCCGGGATTGGTAAGACAACAATCGCAAGAGTTCTGTTTAACCAAGTCCAAGTCTCCAACAAATTCCAACATAGTGCATTCATGGTCAATATCAAAAGATGTTATCCAAGACCTTGTTTTGATGAGTACGATGCGCAACTGCAACTACAAGAACAAATGTTGTCTAAGATGATCAATCAGAAAGATATCAAGATTTCTCATTTAGGAGTGGCACAAGAACGGTTGAAAGAGAAGAAGGTGTTTCTTGTTCTTGATGAAGTAGATCACTTAGGACAGCTAGATGCTTTGGCAAAGGAAACTCGATGGTTTGGTCCTGGAAGTCGAATTATTATCACAACAGAAAATATGGGAGTTTTGAAAGCCCATGGGATCAATCATATTTACAAAGTGAATACTCCGTCAAGTGGTGAGGCTTTTCAAATATTTTGTATAAATGCCTTTGGACAAAAGCACCCAAACGAGGGTTTCTATGAGCTTGCTTT